AGCTACTTACTTCATGGTGGTAGGGAGGCTGAGCCCAGGAGAAGAGAAGCAGTGAGAGACACAGCTCTGCAGGCAGCCCTAAGCGACCCATTCTTCCAACTGGGCTCACCTCCTAACAGCACATTCAGTGATGAACACAGATGAGCAAATCGCCTCCAAGATGCAGCCACTTCTCCAGAACTCTTAATGCAGTCAAGTTGACAATGAAGATTAACTGGCACAGGGACAGATCCTCTGTTGGTTTCAGCATTTCACTGTGTAGGCCTTTTAACATGTGCTCCTTGTAGCCTTCCCAGAATGTAGCACATAAAATATGGCAGGTGAATAGTTGGTAAGTGAACACAGGGACAACTGCAGTAGCACCAGCTAATGATGATTATGTGCCTGTCACATAGCATGCACCTTCCCATGTGCCAGTCATTGTTCTCATTGCTTGGTGTGTATCTACTCAGTTTGATCTACTACAACCTTATGAGATAGGTCTATTACTGATCCCATTTTAGCACATGAGAAAGCTGGAAAAAAAAAGCTTAAGTGATGTACCCAAGGTCCCATAGATAGTAAAAGCAGGAATCAAATCTAGGCATTTAAGCTCTTGAGAGTGCATTTTTTAGTCTATTTTTATTTTATTTATTTATTTAGTTTTTGCAGTACTGGAAATTGAACTCAGGACCTTGTGCTTTGCTGAGCTAAATCCCTGGCCCTATTTTTAATTATTTTGATTGATAAAATTATATATAAAAACTATTACATATAAAATTATATAAATTACTCTATATACATGCAATTGTATAGATTGTGGAATGACTAAATTGAGCTGATTAATGTGTATATTACCTCATTAAAGTGTTTAAAGAACAATTTAAAATCTACTTTCTTAATAATTTTCAAGAATACCACACATTGTTATTAATAAAATAAGATAACAGTTGCTGGTAAGGACCTGGAGGACAGGAGCCCTTGTTTCTTCTGTATTTGCCATAATACAAACACAATTGAGAAACTGAGAAAACTTTTTTTCTCATATGGGACTAATTCTTGTATATACTCCACCATCTCTGAATCTGAAATATAAGAAATAAAGATCATCTTTTGGGATAATAAAATTTTTCTGTTTTAATGATGCTTTGTGATGATATTTAATATAATATAGTTTTTAATCTGAATTGTTTACCATTTATTAAACACCATTTCAGTTACTTATCAAAATCTCTCTGCATACTGAAGACAAGCTATTTTACTCTGTGAATTATCTATATAAATACATTGGAATATCACATAAATGTAGAACTTAGTGCTCCAGTGGAGTGCACAGGGTCAAATGAAAAATGAAAGTGACAACTTCAGATTCAAAATTAGTTTGTCACTTCTGATCAAAGCTGTGAACTTCAATGGAAAAGAAAAGTTTCAGAATATATAGTACAAAAATATTTTTGGATGAAGTGATATATTAGATTTGAATGTTAAATTTGCTTTAAAATCTGGGATTTGAATGTGAATGAAGTAATATTGGTTATGATGACAGTTGTTGAGGCTGAGTGAGGGTTATATGAAGAGTCATATTATTTTTCCATTAAAGTGTTTTAGAGTGGCTGATAATCAGAAATTCTAGATTTGGGTAGTTATGTGGGTTCTTTTGTTTGTTTTATTATGTGATACAGAACATATAACAGTTTACTATCTAAGCATTTTAAGTGTATAGGTCAGTCAGTAATATATTCATGTTGTTGTAGAATACACTTCTAGAACTTTTTAATGCAAATTAAAAACCCTGTACCAATTAAACAACTTCCCTTTTCTCTTTCCCCACATCCTTGGTAATCACCGTTTTATTTTCTATTTCTATAAATTTGATTGCTTTAGTTACCTCCTACAGCTAGAATCATACAATTATTATCTTTTGATGGCTGGCTTATTCATATAGTATAATATCCTCAAGATTCATTCATTTTGTAGTGTGTGACAGGATTTCCTGTTTGAGATTGAATAATATTTCATTTTATGTATATACCACATTTTGTTTATTCATCCATCAATGCACATATGAGTTTCTTCTATCACTTGGCTGTTGTGTCTAGGGCTGTTATGAACATGGGTGCACAAATATCTCTTTGAGACCCAGGTTTCAGTTCTTTGGGATATATACTTAGAAATGAGATTGCTGGATCGTATGGTAGTTCTATTTCAGAATTTTTGAGGATCATCCATACTGTTTTCTCTAAGAGGTTGTAACGTTTTACGCTTCCACCTGAAATGCCCAAGTGTTCAGTATCCACAGTCTCTGCTATTGTCGACATTTTTGTTTCACTTTGTTTTTAATGGTAGCCATTCCCTATCTCTTTGTGGTTTTGATTTGCATTTTTCTGATGACATATCATCTTGGAAGAAATATCTGTATAAATCCTTTGCCTACTTTTGAGGCGTTTTGCTTGTACATATGTTTTACATTCCTAGAAAAAGAATCCCAAGATTTCTCCCTCTTGTGTTCTTGTCTTCTTTATGATTGTCTTTTGTATATTCAGAAATTTTAATTCCATTTTTAAAACTAAATGGAAGACCTGAAAAAGTGCTATGAGTAGCTCAAGGATGTGCAGAAATGAAATCATAATAGTAAGTGTGTTATCATGTGTATGATAGATGGATGCTAGATAATAATTTTAAGAATGCTCTTAAAAATAGAAGAAAGGTTTTTACTAGTGTAAAAGTCCCACTATAATTTCATCTTCATAATTTACATCTCTATTATATTTAAAATGAATTACTCTAATTGTTTTAGTTGGTTAGTGCTGCCATAGCAAAATACCTGAAAATAACTTAATTCATAAACAATGAAAATTTATTTCTCACAGTTCTGGAGGCTGAGGCATTTAAGATCAAGGGACTGGCAGGGCCAGTGTCTGGTTAGGATCCCTTCTTTGCTTCCAAGATGGCAGTGTGAGTGCTGTGTCCTCACAGGACAGAGGTGGAAAGGCGAGAAGGGATGGATGGACACTGTCTTCACATGGCAGAAGAGCAGAGAACACACCCACCCCCTCGAGGGTTCTGATCTTCTCCGTGAAGACTCAGCTCTCATGGCCTAGTTACCTCCTAAATTCCCCACTTCTTGATGCTGTCATACTGGCAGAGTATCGGCACACAGTAACTCAGATGAATTTGGGGGACACATTCAGACCATACCGTCTAGTAACTGAGCCCTCTTAAATGTTCCTTGCTGATTACTGACATACTAGAGAGAGAAACTAGTGAAATGCTCTGAGGACTTTTTTAAAAGTACCTGTCATTTCATTTGTGAGAATCTCAGCTATTTAGCATAATTTTTATAATTCTTAATGGCCTTTTATGTTCACAGTACATGTGGTGGCATTTTGCGGGACTCAATTTTACATTTCTGATGTGAAGTTCTTGCTGTCCACCACAGTGCCTGACATATAATAGGTGCTCAATGAATGCTTTTCGAATAAGTGATTACTTGATTGACCAGTACTGCATCTTTATTAGGATAAAACACTTGTTTGGATAGTACATGTCACAGTTATGGATGAACTTATGTGGTAGTTGGGAAGTTGGAGTAAAGGAAAACAGACAAAAAGAGAAAGAAAAACAAAGATGATAGACTCTTCCATTATAAAAGACAAATGCAAACAAACTTCAAATGATAACAACTTCATGTTTTTTTCAATTGGATAGTCATTTCATTGGGGATTTTTCATAGTGACATGATTTGTTTCTGATCTTATTGAATTAGGAAAGTATTTTAGTTTCAATATTATGATGAACTAGATATATAAATGCCAGTGCTAATAGCTTAGTATTTTAGTCTTCCACAAATTGATGCTTGTGGCATTGGGACATTTTTTTGGCCTGTTCTTGTAAATAAGGTCTTAGTGATGTTTAAGGAATAGCAACTTGTGGCCAAATAAAGAAAGAAAGGAAAAAAACTCCCAATATTCCAAGATAAGCAACATAAATGGGGTCAGGAATCCCCTACTAGATCAAAAATCTCCTAGAGAAAAATCTCTTCAGCTTACAGACTGAAAACTTTTAATATAATTTTAAATAAAGCCTTTTATGAAGTATGAGCATTTTTAGTTGATAATCAATTGCTACTATTATGTAGGCTTACTAGATTTGCAAATTTACAAGATTTTACAAGTCAGTTGGGTCCCTTCCTCAGGAAATCAATTCAAGGTTTTTTTCCTCTATTGACTGAAAGAGCCTAGTTGTCCTTAAATCCTGTGAATATATTTGCCTTACAACTTGACGGCATTGAGTCAACACCCTTGTAGGGTCTGTAGTGTAGTAAAAAGAGAAACTGCTCAAAAAAGAATCACATTTGGAAAAAATAGACTGGGCAGGAGAAAATCTGTATTGGACATAAGTTCTGTTCTGTGCTTTAAAATACCTACTGCTCTTCAGGCAAATACAACGTTGTCCATAACTCTTGAAATGGATACTTTAGATTTGAAAAGAAAACAACTGAATAATATCTTCATGAAATTAAATCATGGTTATAAGTAATGTCAATATGCAATATAATATTGATTTTAACAGAATATTATGTATTTGTGTTAATGATAGTTATAAAGATTACCAAACGCCCTAATGATTCAAGTAATTAGACTGTTTCAGACCAAATATGTTTGGATAAGAATAGCTTACCTTTAGTTAGTCCATGTATTTAAAGGCATTACATTGAGTGGGGTCTTTGAGCACCATCGGTGTGCCTAAAGTTTATACTACTTGAGCACTTACATACTAGTCATCGTGTACTATGTATGATTTAATTCTGAGACAAGTCCATGTTAAGGAGATACATTTATTTCTCCCAGTTTATAAGTGTAGAAACTGAGGCATAAAAAAACTGAATCGGTTCCCCAAGACTACACAGCTAGTGTCTAAGCTAGGGTATGATTTTGGAAAGTAAGTCAAATTTAAACAGGTTAAAAATGTCTTAATTGATGCCAATATTGAATTTTGTTCTCTCTTTAACACTTGTCTAGTTGATTTGGAGCATATGCGAACAGTGAAACCTGAGAAGCACTTACGATTTTGTCAGGAAAACGGTTTTAGTAGCCACTTTGTCTCAGCCAAGACAGGAGACTCTGTAAGTAAACTAACACATACTGCATATAACAAGTGATGTTTTCTTTTATTTACAAACGTAACATAGGGTCTGTAGTATTGTAAAAAGAGAAACTGCTCCATAAAGGACCACATTTGAAAAAAATAGACTGGGCAGGAGAAGTTCAGTACTGGACATGGGTTCTTCCCAGGAAGTATGCTTAACCTTTGGAGCAAATTAATTTCTATTGAAGATATGAAAAACCATAGATGAGATTTGTTTATTCTACTTATATTACTTTTATAATTAATTTAACATAATTGCATTAAGGAATCTAAAATGCAGGGAATTAAATGCATATAAATCATCCATGATCCCAGTGTTCAGAGATGACCATTGATGAGTCACATGATTCTTCTGAGTCTTCCTTATCTGAGGTCTCAAATACTGGTGCAGGTGCTTCTTCTTGCAGATTGCATTTATGGAGGGCTTATCCAAGACCTGTGGGGCTCTACTCTGATCATCTCTATTTCACAAATGAGTCTCAAAGAGAGGTCATGTAACAGTGCCCAGGTTACACAGCTAATAAGTGATGGAGATAGGGTCTGTAAATAAAGTGATGACATTCAAGGGCTCACTGTATTAACCACTATAAATATTTGCTCAAAAATATAAGATCATAATATAAAAATGATTTTATATTTTCCTTTCTATTCAGCATTTTCATCTGTAGAAAATTGTCTTATTTAATGTTATCACTAGATTTAATAGTCTGTTAAATAAATTTTCAAAATATGTTTGACCGTGTCCTTATTGTTGGACATATTTCTAAATTGTTACTAAGTATTGTTTCTGAGTTCTGTTTTTAATGTTCTAATGAAAAATTTTGTTCATAAGCTTTTGATATTTTGCTTATTTTCTTTAAATAGATTCCTTGACAAGGATTAAAATGTATTGCCAAATTACTACCAGCGAGGCTAAATTAATTTATAATATCACTAGTATTATATGATTCCCCCCCCCCCCCCACACCTTTATTTAGTTATTTACTTACTTAGAGACAGGGTCTCGCTATGTAGTACAGCCTGGCCTGGAACTCAAGAACCTCTGCTGCCTCAGAAACTCCAGTACTGGGATTACAGTCATGTGGCATCATGCCTGGCCACAGTCTCTTTTTTAACATTGAGTCTTTATTTGTTTTTAAGTCTTTGTCAAAGGGGTAGGCCCAAACAGCACAACTTTATTATTTAAATTTGAATTTCTTTGTTTACAATTGTGGCTGGAATTCTAAAAATTTTATTAGCTGTTCTTTTTCTGCTATTAGCTATTAACATTTTATAATTTGCCCTTGGCTTTTAAATTTTTCTATGACCACTTTTATACCAGCGATAACATTCGTTATAATTTTTGTAAATATATTTACCACTGTACATATTTTTTTTTTTTTGCTGCTGCTGCTGCTGCCTGATTGTTAGTTTTTTCTTTTGTCTTTGGTGCTGGGGAATGAACCCAGGCCCTTACTCATGACTGTTAATTTTCTTAACATTTTTTTCAACAAAAAGAAATTTGAAGATTTTCTGTGGTTTAATATTAGATGTTTTCCTTGTAATGTATTTCACAGGTTAAATGACTAGGCTAAATGTGAAATAATATAAAAGGAACTTAAACCTTTTTCGGGTTGAACCCATTTAAGGTGGCCTCTTGGAGCTGTTTCTCCCAGAACAGTGTGCAGTGGCAGTCCCCACACCTGCCATTTAAAATACAATGTCAGTGCTTCTGGGTAAACTCATCTCTAGATTGATGGGCTTCTATGCTCACATCTTCCTAGGGTCTTTTACCACTTGGGATTATTTTAATTTCTAATATTTGAGCTTGTGTTTAGCTTAGTGCTCTTTGTGTACTTACGTTGAACCACCATTAAAAAGTGATTGTTTTCTCTATCGATACTACTTGAAATGATTTGTTCTTGCAGTCATCTCCAGGTCCAGGCTACTTTTCTTCATTATTTGAAAAATTGCATTCCTGGCTTTCTGTGCTTCCATGATACCACCGCTGCCCTGATTGTTAGTGATTTCAGTGTGTTTTTGTCCTCCCCCTCACTCCTGTGAGTGTCACTGGAACTCGCTAGCCCCGTGTTGCCTCAGGTCAGATGTCCTGATCATAGTGATCAGCCATTCTGTCCTTCCTGCTCACACTGTAAGTGTCCTAACCCAGGTATTCTTCAACCCTGGCAAGACTTAGGAGATGTAGGCCCTAATACCTTTATGGAATCGTTAGCCTTCTTTTATGGCCTTATGTTTCCATTCCTGACTTAACACTCATAGCCAGTCAAAATCATTGCCAAGTATATACTCTCAGTTTTCTTTCTCCTCTTTAACTTTGTCAAACTCACTTGGCCACATCTTAATTCTGCTTCAAATCAAGCCTCCGCTTTTCTGTGGCTGCACACATGGATGTGACCACAGAAAAAACAAAGAGGAATGCTAGAGGTTCCACATTAAATTTATAGTCATTAGCCTCTAGTGGGCCCTCAATACTGCTTGGTAATTATACCGGATGTCCCTGCTCTTAGCATCTTTCTGTCTTACCTGCATGACCATTTTATAGCTTCTCTTCTCTCTTGAGATGTTCAAAACATTCTCCGCTGTTCTCTTAGCTAATGGCCTTGTTTCTTATTTTGTAAGAAATTTGAAACAAAGGGAAGACAACTTCTACATACCTCTACCACACCTCTATCCAAATACCCCTCTCCTTTCCCTGCCTCTTTGTCCCCGCCTTCTGTCTCCCCTGTGCTCACTGTGAAAACTGCGCTCCTACATACGGCGAGCTCCCACGGTGGTGTACCACTCCCTTTCTCTTTGTTGAATGGCTTTAGCACTTCTTTCTTTTTTATACATCATCATTTTTTTTTTGCCTACTAGTTAATTCTATCAGCATACAAAATATTGTGACTTATCTTAAAAACAAGGGAATTCTTGATTCCACATTTTTCTCTACCTATTTCCTTATTTCTTTCCTTACTTCCCAGCAGAATGTTTTGAAAGCCTTACCTCCAGTTGCTCTACCTCAGGTTTCTCTTGAACAGTTCCAACAGACTTTTGCTCCCAGTATTTCACCCAAACTGCCATTAGCAAGGGTACTAGTGACCTCTTACTTGATGAACCCAGCGATTGCTTCTTAATCTTATGCAACTTCGTAGCAGCATATACAATAATCGATAATTGTCGAATTTTTGAAATACCTTCCTCATTCAACTTCCAGGATACCATACCTCCTGGTCTTCCTTCTGTCTCACTGTCTGTCTGTCTGTCTGTCTCTCTCATCACTCTAGCCTGTAACTGTTGGAGTACTTTGTGGCTTAGTTCTTGGGTGTCTCTTTTTCTAAACTTACTCCCTTAGAACTTGATTTAGTTTCATGGCCTTGCCCAGACCTCTTCCCTGAACTCTGGATTTCCGTATCTAATTACTCACTCAGCATTGCCACAGAGATGCCAGCAGATTAACACATCCAGAACCGAGATGCTCATGTTCTCTCCTCAGATCTCTCATAGTCTTCCCACTTCAATAAGTGGCAGATCTATTCTTCCAGTTGCTCAAGTCAAGAGACTTTTGGAGTCACCGTGACTGCTCTGTTTTTCCCACAAGCTACCTCTACCCATCACTGTCTCCTAACTTCTCTTGGCTGTACTTTGAAGGTATATCCAAAACATGATGACTGTTTCTTACCATCTCCACTGCTGCTAATGTGGTTCAGACTCTACAGTCTCTATCTATTAGTCTCCTTGCTGATTTCTCTTTTGTTCATTGCTGTTCTTTAATAAGTGCTGAATACAACAACTAGATTGGTCCCATTGAAATAAAAATCCCATCAGGCAAGGCTTCCATGGCTTCCATTTTACTCAGAATAAATACCAAAGTCCTTCCAGTAGCCTGTAAGATCCTATGTATTTTGTACCCTCTTCTCTTGCTCATCTTCTTTTATACTATCTTTCTTTCTCTGTTCCACCACATTAGCTTTCCTGTTGTCTCTTGAACACTGACATCAGTTAACTAAAATGTATGCTCTTGGGGTTAAAAATAGTGTAAATCTTTCTGAGAGTTGTACAAAATAGCATAAACCTTTAAGGGAGTTTTATTTCCTTTTTCTCTCTTATTTATTAGTATATGTTAGCAATGCACAATAATTACATTCATTGTGGGGAATTGGTACATACACATATCATATCTTGATCCAAATAAAAATTAGTAAAGATAAATTGGGCTAGGAATATGATAGGATATTTGTGAGGCAGCGAGCTATAAGTTATACTGCAGTAAGTGTCAGTACTGGAACTCTAGGAATTATAGTGGACCTGACATAAGCCAACTAGATATAAAAGGCTGTTTATAGAAAAGCACTATAATGGGATTCATCGTTTTTTACTCCGAGTTGATAAAATACAGAAAAGAGTACCAAGTTGGTTTACTTAAGATATGGAGAATTTGTTGAAATTGATAAGAATCACAAAGATTATTAGTGTGTTGAAAATTAAGACCTTTTAAGACAGACTGAAGCTAAGTCAAAAGACCAGGATTGAATTAGAAGCAAAAAGCCAGAATAGTAAAGTATAGATTAATTTATTTTCATTTCTTCAGGAATTATGGAGTTTGTTAGGCTAATAAGTGTTTATATGTCGTTATTTTGTTTTGAAAGTGGCAGCTGTACTTGTCATATTAAATCTTTAAAAAATGTCTGTTTTTAATGATAAAGGTAAGTTTTGATAATTCAGCGAAATGCATGGATTTTCAAATTATGATTTAATCATTTAAAATTATTCCATTCAATATATTGCTATACTTTACAAAGCTATTTTTGGAATCACCTGCTACATCATATTTTTTCTTGCTGTTTATCACTTTTTAGAAAGTTCAATTTATTTAAAGGTAACAAGCATGCCTGCTTTAAATCATTTAAATCTATTTTTGTTATGTAGGTCTTCCTGTGTTTTCAGAAAGTTGCTGCTGAAATCCTTGGAATCAAGTTAAACAAAGCAGAAATAGAACAGTCACAGGTGATTATCTTGAGCTTTATGGTTTAAAAAAATTAATGAATTTCTTACAATCCATTAACTTTTACCCATGAATCCTTTCACGTTTATGCATTCTATGTACATATGCCTAAAAACTCTTGGAAATAGATTGTGTGTATAAATCATTGTTTATTACTTCAGTTCTTTTAACACTATTCATCTTAGAAACACCCTCATCTATAATGATATTAATTTTTGGTAATCTAGTAATGTTTTTAAAGATTTCTGTATTATTTTATTATTACTAGACAGTTGTCTTGGACTGAGAATTTATCATGAATACCAAATGTTAACTTAAAAATGACATAACGTAAAAATGACATAATTTCACTCTAATTCATGTTTGATAGAATGGAAAATTAGAGCAAGAGCCTATAGTTTAAAGTTGAGCTTCAGTACTGGTTGGATTAGAAGCAACAAACTAACATTTCCCCTCAGTTTCTTCCAGCATTCCTATTCCATGTAGCTAAAAAGGCAGGATAATCTTTTCCCATCTTTAAATTCTTTAATTATTTTAGAGTTAGTTTTATGTCATAGTCTCATAGTCACACTTGGGATGTGTGTTTATGTGTGTTAAAGAATTGAAGCAAATATCAATTGAAAATTGTTATGCTGAAGTGACGGTAGGACTTAAGTTATTTGGAACACTGCAAGTTCGCTGCTTTTAATTATCATCATTCAGATACTCATTTCAGTATTTTCTAGGACCAGACAGAATGGTAAGGTATTTCATGCTTTGTAAATAGCTCCCACTATAAAAACAGTTACTTGCTTTTGGCTTAGGAGCATGCTCGAAAGAAGTCATCATGATTCGTGTGATCACACACTCCTGAGACTTCAGAGCTCACATGATTTCTCTGCATTTTAGCTTCTGTTTCTAAATGATATTTGTCTCTGTTCAGTCGGAGAGTCTATGAGTGATTATGAAGCAACAGTAAGTAATTTGTTGATTATATATTATATATGCAGTATAGTGGTAAGCCTGATAGAGACTTAAATTTAAAATTAGTCCCTACCTCCAGTGGAGAAATGTATTATGTGTGATATCTTATTTAATTCTCATAGTAACTCCCTGGAGCAGGTAGCAGTTCATCATTTTATATTGTCACAACCCTGAGACGGGAAAGGCTATGTAATTTGATCACTAAGCCGTTGTTAGATGGGGGAGTTAGGATTGGAACCCAGGTCTGGCCAACACCAGAGCTTCTGTTTTACTCTACCCTGTGAGAGAAAGTATACTGGCCAGTTTGGAGTGCCGGGGAGGAAAACAGCTGCATGTGGAGCTGTCATGGAAGTACCTGGGTAGAAAAGCTTAGGTTGTATTTTGAAAACAGAAGAGCAGTTTGATTAAAATAAGTGACCATTTGTATTGCAGTATAAAGGGAGTTTGAGAAGAGATTATGGGGATTTATGAATCCCCAGTTGATAAATTTTATCTAACCTCTTGCGAATGGGAAATATTTGGGCAGGGAATTAAGTGAAAGCAGTTTTTAGCTAGAATTAATCTATTTTTGTGTGTGGTTGGATGGGAAGGAGATAGAGGTAAGGAGACCTGGTTACTGCTATCATGTGATAAGTACCAGAGTCAAGGCAGAAGGGAAGGAATGGCTGGATTTAAGAGACATTTCAAAGAAGAATCTATAGGCTTTGTGGAAAGAAGAGATCCAAGATAATCCTGAGATTTCCTGCCTGGAGGACAGAGGCAGAGAACCTCAGGGATTGGTGGGTTGTCCATAGCAGGGAAGGCTGCTGTTGCTCCTCAGGGGGCAGGCGGCACTGAAGAAGAACTGGGCTGTACAGCAGTGCCCAGGTTCAGAGAGACCTCCAGAGAGGTGGAGGAACTGAGATGCTTTTTTTTTTTGTGGTGCTGGGGATTAAATCTAGAGCCAGGCGTATGCTAGGCAAGAGCTCTATCATAGAGCTACAGCCCCAGCTCTTTTTAAATTTTGAGACAAGGTCTCACTAAGTTGTCACACTGGCGTTGAACTTGTGATCCTTCTGCCTTGGGTTCCCAGAATTCTGGGATTACAGGTGTGTTCCACCATGCCTGGCTTCTGTTCACCTTTAAATTTGTTTTTAAATAAAATTTAAAAATCAGATGGAACTTTAGATACTATTTGGATAAACCTTGTGTTTTATAGATTAAGATATTGTGAAGACCAAAGAGCTGAAATAGCTCACCCAAAGTTACGAATGTTATTGGAAGCATATAATGACTCATCACATGTAAGAACAACTTTTCTGTTTTAGCTCCTACCATGTACCTTGTACTGTACTTTTTAACATGCTGTATCTATGCTTCATATGGTAATGTGCATACACTTAGAATACATATCAATCAAAATATTCTTTGTTTACACATCCATACACATCTCAAAAACAGAGACCACATGTTGTTTATCTAAATGTGCATAGTACCTAGAGTAGTGCCTGGCTTTGAGTGAATGACAGTAATGGATGTTTTAGCCTTCTTAGTTATGTTCACTCCATGTCCTTGACATGACACGCTATGGTAGTCTTCCCAAGAATCTGCCTGGGTTCTTTATACCTTCTCATCCTCACTCTGAGATTGCTTTCCTGCTTACACTTTGGATCTCTGCCACTTCCACACCTACTTGCAAATGGTCCTTGACAGATGAGATTGAAACTTATATCACTCACGTGGCCCCATTTCTCTTAAGGCTACTTTTTTTTTTTATGGTACTGGGGATCAATCGCAGGCCCTTGGCGCTTGTGAGGCAGGCACAGTGCCACTGAGCTAAATCCCCAGCCCTTACTTTATTATTTTTTACTCCTTTGACCAGTAGGAGAAAATAATTGAATGTGCTTTCTAGCTCAAATGAAGATGAGTGTTTGTAGGTAATATTTTCTCTGTAATAATCAATAAATAACTTGTAAACAAGCCAACTACTGTGAAACCACCCACCATGATGTTTATGATGTAGAAACTGTTTTTGTACTCACAGAAAGCAGAGTTTTGAATCTAAAGAACCTGTGTTAGGCTTTGAATTTGGAAACATTGTACAAAGCTTTATGGCAGACAGTTAAGATCCCGCAAAAAGATGCTGCTGTGTTATTTTTAATTTGATAAAATGAATGATGAAAATCCAAGTCATTTTAGTCAGTACTTTGATCAAAATGTCTTGGACCACATAGGTCAGCAACCTGGTTGTGTTTATAAGATAGGCTTTAAACCAGCATTTTGTTGGATTAATGAGTTGCTGATTATTAAAATCCCTTCTCTCCATTGTAATGCATAGTTTAGAGTGAAATAATTGGGCTGAGGAGGTCAGATTCAGCGTTCCACTGAGGGACTCTCTCACACCTCTTCTGGGGGTCGGTACTGCCTCTGTTGGTAGCATCAGGCTGTGTGCCTAGTAAATCATATTTTTCCCAAAAGTTAACACTCCTGCTAGAGAACTTAAACAGAACTTACCTAAGCTAATACATCCATATACCTTAGCATCTTCTTCACCTACTCCCAATTGTTTATCAAATATTTATTATAAATAAATATAAACAACAGCCCCTGGTAAGACAACAGCCCCTGATAAGATTTTTTATATGTTGATAAATTAATAGATGCAGTTATCAAGGCAAGATTTTTAAAAATAAGGTATTTATAATCATATGGAAAAGCAAAGATAGTTTCAAATCTTAAAAAAAAAAGGAGAGCATGTTATCTCTGTCATCCATATTTGTTCTTTGTGATCTCTTCTTCCTAGAGGTTATAGCAACTAAAATGTGGCAATATAGTTTTAATTTTTGTTTAAGCAAAACACTTAAGTATTTGCAGGCAGCAGCTGTCGTGATTAAATATATTTCATAATTTTTTTATGTGACCCACAACTACATTTTGAACTTGTTTAATTTGGAAGCATGAAGGTTAGGGTTGGAGGAATGGGGGAGTGAGCATCAAATGAAATATTGGACAAGTAAAAGGATTAAGTATAAAAATTGCAAATGAAGTATGTCTGCCTCTGATTTCTTCATTCCTTTCCCCACTTTCAAAGATAAGTACTCCTTCCTTTGTGTTCTCACAGCATAAGCCTACTGGAAAAGCTCTTTACCTTGTGTGTCGATTAATTGTGTGTGTTTCTTTGCCCAGTAGGTCCAGGGCAACTTGTGAACAGCTCCTGTGTAACTCACCCATGCATCACCAGCGTAGAGTGACTGGCACACAGTCGGTCTCAGTAATGTCTGTCAAAGGAAAAGGAATTAGTGCTTTCCTGTACTTTGGCCTGTGTTGTCAAAAAAAGAACTCATAATTTATCTGGAAAAGTTCAGTTGGCCTATGTATTTCAGTAATTAAATGGAATTATAAAGAATAATGGTTATTGGGTCTCCGTTCCTTTTCTTCCCTTTTGTATGCATATATTCTGCTGTTTCCTTTGTGACATGTTTAAATTTATGTGTTAATTTTCCTTTTCTACTTTGGTGTTCACTTCTATTTTCAGTCATTGATTTTCCTTTTGTCTTTCTTCTTCTTCTTTTTCTTCTTCTTTCTCCATCTTGTTTGTGTTGTTCGGAATTTACAGCATATTGTCAGGGCAGAAATAGTGAAGTACCCGGAAGAAGAGAACCAACGTGCCAGCTCTTCTCAGAGTAGAATCTGTTCAGTACAGTAGTGCAGGTATTAACAGATAAATTCTTGCGGTCGGGGGAGGGGGGCTAGTAAATGCTACCTTGTTCTTTATTCCTTATGTATAGAGAAGTTCATATGATTATTGTACATTTTTATAAATTAATATTGCATAAATTCTGATTTAAACCTTTGAAAAATTGGGTCCTTTGCCGTGAGACTTATGTATGAAACAGGAAATAGTGAACAAATTAAAATAACACTTCAGTTACATTCAAACATATTTGTCTTTATAGTTGTATTCATTACGCTTGCAGTGAAGTGGAGAATTGGGGCAGTTATTTCATTATTCATTCTTTACCATTTTTCCTGAAATGGCTTGGTAATTGAAAGAGTATTTAAAAAATTTGTCTTGAATTGCCTTTCTTTGTCTACTTGTGTCTGCAGACTTAGGAAGAATTGAAAACAGTAAAGTGTTTTAATTTAAATTATTTCTTAGAGATGAATTTTAAGGCATTTTGCTAAATTTATTGCTTCAGATATTCATCTGAGTGTGAATTAGAGGGAAGGAGGGAAGCAAAAGTGTCTTTTGTTTAAACTATTTTAAAACAGGAACATGAGGTTAATTTTCTAAATGCCTTATTTATACCATAAGTTTTTAGATTCATTAGTCATAAACCAATTGTGACCTCCTTGGAAGTAAGTTAGGGTTTTAGGAGGGAAGTTTTAAAAATTAATTTGTTCAAAATATTTGTACGTTATGTGCGAGTCCTCTTGAACATACCTCTTACCAACTCACTGCTTTAAGCATTCTAAGAAAAGTTACGGCTGAGTGTAATGGCTTATGGAGATATTAATAAGTAGTGAAAATCTTTACTTTGACATGAGGCGGTCATATCTAGGAATTAAAATATATATGAATGATTACTTTTAATTCTTTTGCTTTAAATTATAACTGAGTAGCCATTGCCGCCTTTAAAAAAGCCAGTCAACCAACAAAAATACTCAATTCTTCATTAGTTCTGGTTGATTCTTTTAATATCAACTTCTGCTTCATTACAATGTTTATCACCAGGAGTTCACCAAAGTTCAGAAAATAAAAATATACTGTAAGTAGCTCTTTCTGATGTCCTGATAATAACCCTTTTCTTTTATGACAGAGGGTGGTGAAGGCAGATATTGTAAACTACAACCAGGAGCCCACGTCAAGAACTGTTAACCGGCCTCGGAGCTCCATGTGTGCAGTTCAGTGAGCGCGCTTTCCTTCTGTGTGGATAATGCTGGCTGCCCTCCTCCTCTGAGTGGGCCCAGCCGTCTGCGAACTGGTTTTATCAGTGACCATTGCCATAGTGCAGTTCGCACTTTGCTCCCATCACTTCATCAGTCAGTGTTGCCTCAGAGCCGCAGGCAGCTCCTCGGACTGCAAAGAACCCAACTTCAGGGCCACACACTTGGAAATCAAAATGGGACAGCCCTTCTCTGGAGTTAGATTGCATCATTGAAAAAGTATGATGGTGGTTCTTTATATCCTTGCTTCTTTTTCCCTGATGTAAACTTTTTAAGCCAAATATAAAACTGCCCAGGTCTTTATCGTCAGCCAGGCTATTGTCACTGCACCGTTTAATTTTCTTATCTGAATTCATGTATCTCAAAATATACTTCAGAGTGCAAATATTGAAATAAGTAATATATTTTCCCTACAGTTACTTAACGGGGCATTCTTTTATTGTCTATTGTGAGTGAAAACATATAAAGCTGTATTTAACTGAAAAATGCTTGAAATAAGGTTGTAATAGAAATATTTTTTCATTTTTAAAAAGGGGGCCTAAATTGTTTATATTATAGCTTGTAACTCACAAAGTAGTGAGTATTTGATATTGTATTTTTATTACTGTATCATGGTCATTGCATATTGTATTATACTCAGCTTAGATGGCTTTATGAATTTTAATAAATGTTCAGCTGATGTTCCATGTGGAATTTTTCCTACAGACTGCATAAAAGCACACCCAGAATCAGTTATCAGATCCTGTTGGGTTATTGTGGATCAGGCAGTACCTGATGGTCAGATGTTTTTCCCTCACAAATAAATTTATTTCTGTTAATTTTAAGGGGGCCATTTTCTTTCAGCCGTTTTCCTCTTGGTTACAGAAAAAGTGGTTTTGGATATGCACAGTGACCCTGTGAAGATTAACATATGCTCAGCCACTTTGAGTTGTGTTCTTGGTCTGCTTAGAATTGACCAGTACAACACGGCCTGGCCTCAGGGACCCCAGGTAAGCTGCGCCTCCTCCCCACTTTCTCCTGCCACTCTTGTTCCTGTGAAGGGAGACCTTCGACCCACTCGTGTCTGCGCCTGTCACTGCTCCCCAGGTCCCTCTGCCACAGTCACTCCCTGAACTCAGCATCTTCCTCTTGTCCTGACATCAGCTGTGAGAGCAGGACTGTTTGCCTTGACCATAGTTGTGCTGTGTTTTTGTGCTGAGGCGCAGGCCCGGGGATCATGGCTGGTCTGGCTTTGCTGCACAATGGCGGAATGTGTGCCACCTCTGCAGAAAGCCAGGTCCTGACCAGAGCCAGAAGCTCCTGTCAGTAGCTCAGGGCTGGCCACCACCCCTTCCTGTCTTGAGTCACAGCTATTTGCCTCCTTGCCTTTTGTTGATTTATAAGCCTTGCATTCAGTGAAGGTCAGGTCTGGGTCTTTCTCTCACGTCCATCATGGTGCCCAACAAGGTGCCTTTTTCTCAGCAAACTTACTACAAATATCTTCCTGTGCAGAAATTGTGAAACCTAACTTTAGAGCTGTAAGGGCTTTTAGCAAACTTATTTCATATCCTTGTGTGGCTAAGCAAACTAAAACATGGATAGAAGAGGTAGCTTGACTGAAATCATGGACTCTCTCAGAGGTGGACCTGCTAGATTGTGTTCTAGGTCAAGAGATTAAAAACCTATTAAAAAAAAGACAAAAATTATGACTCATTAGGCGGTGGGTCCAATCTTTTAATTTTTATTTCTGTGTTTTTCATTTAGTCATAATTTTAACATGCTTATAAGCCCTTCAAGAGGATAAGCCTTTCATGGTGGTTCAGTTTGCCCCTTGAGCATGCTACTAGTTCATACAGGCTGGGGCCTTTGGGAGAAAATAAAGTTGAATAAGCAGGATCTCAACCCTGAAGGACATCACAGTCTCATTGGAGAGACATTTGCCGTTGCTGCTGCTGTTGTAAATGCTGTGGTTGATTGAATTCCGCTGTTGAACTAACCTTGCCCAACTCTCCATCCCATAAGGGATGAGGCTGTGTTCCTTTTTCTTCATTTTGTAGTGTTCTTGTTTTGACGTGAACACTGTAGGACTTTAGATCTAAAATTTCTCCCCAGCAGCACAGTTCCTGCCATATTCCAAGGAAGACTTCTTCACAGGTCCATAGGATTGTGTAAGTGGAGCGCTGTGGGTGTTAAGAAAGGACTGTGGTGTGATAGGATGGAAATACACAACCAAAGGGCAGAGGAAAGAATGGCCTTGGTATACTTGCCTCGTCCTTGTCATGTGATCTGTTTTATTTTCATTCAACCCATGAGAAGGAATCATTTTCCCCTCTCATGGAGGAAACCGGAGCTGAGACTGTGTCTGCTGAGTCCCTCCTTGAGTGAGTGCTGGGCTCAGGAGCCACACACAGTGCTTCTGAGATAGAGTGGGATGGTCCGGTGCTGGCTTCTGTCTGCTTTCCAGTTGTACCCCTCCAGTGACCAGGTGCAGGAAGTGGTTCCTTTGCGGAGTGGCGCTGGACCCTCTGTGTCATCGCTTTTGTGTCCAGAAGTGAGCAGCCCTCGAGAGCCTTTTGACTCCTGGAAAGCAGTGCAGCTTACTGCATGAGCAGATTTCTGAATTCTGTATTACAATTTTCACCATACCTTGGGTTTTATTTTTGAAACAAAAATGTAGGATTCAGGCTTATTTTACTTTGACTGTTACCTCTCCTGTCTACAGTTTTTAATTTAAAAAATTACAAGTTCTTTCCATCTAGTTTGAGGCACTTTTTCTCCCTAAGACACATGCTATAAGGTTTCAAACACATTGTGGTCACTTCCTCTGCTTATTGAGCGTTTGAAAAACACAAAAGTCTTTAACTAGAACTGGTCATTGGATGCTGCCTTTCAAGTGCACCCTCTGTTATGTGTGGCCAACTGCTCTGGAGTGGTTTTTGGAGTGTCCCAGAGAACTCCTGTGACTGCTTTATTATTCTGGGAGGAGGTAAGCCAGGCTAAAGCTGATCTCTGAAACGAGATGGAACATAATAGTCTGTGTGCCATTTAAAAATAGAAAGTTGTCTGCCATAACCTGTGTTATGATTGCTGTAAAGTCTGATGTCCTGACCAATTGCAAACTCCAAAGAAAACTGAACTGCAGCATCATGGAAGACATCTGCCTGTCACCTCTAAGTACCCGTGTCACCATTGATCCATGTTTCCTGACTCCCTCATGGACCCCCCTCTGTTTGTATCCACTCCCTGCTATACCTCAGTGGTTTCTGAAAAAGAAGAGCAGAGAAAGAAAAAAGAAAAAAGCTTCCAGCTCAGAAATTTCTAGAAAACTCTTTACCCATTGGATTGGGATGAGAAAGCAGAAAGCTCTGAGAAACACTGGCAGCTAGCCCGAGGCCACACAGGAAGAGCCTGCCAAGGATGGGGCCGTCACCCCAGGGACAGAGGTAGAGTGGGGACAGGGTCCCAGGCCCTTGCTGTGTTTGAGTTCTGTATCAAGCCATGTCTTGTTGCATTGTTTAACGGCACGAGTCAGTTTTCCTTTATTATTTACGCTAGTGTTGGTTTATTTTATTTTCTGATTACATTTTGCATAAGCAGCTCTTAAGTACTGAGGCAAAAATTTACTTGGCACCAGAACAGAGATTAACATAATCTTTATTTTGTCCTTCAGATCTTATTCTAGGCATATGCGTAGCTCACCAAAATGTAATCATACAAGAGTGTTGCACTCTTCAATAAAACTAAGGAAGAAGGTGTGGCTTAGCAGGAAGGGTGGAAAAAGTAAGGATTTTAGACAAGACTACAGAGTCAACAGCGTGACATAATCACATTCAAAAGCATTTTTAGGCCACATTAATGTAAGGAGAGTGTTCTCCTCGGAATAGGTTTGTACCTGTGAACCACCTGCAGAATCGTGATTCACTAGCTTTGTAGGGGTTTGAAGGGCATTTGTAATCAGCTCCCAAGTGAGGCTAATGCTTTTGGATTGGACCCTGAATTGCAAGGGATTAGACCAGGGCTGCAGTGTTTTTCCCCATATTGATGTTCCTCTTTTCTCATTTTTTTTCTTTCCCTTTTTTCCTTTTCCCCTTACCCTTTGGACCTTTTCTTCCTATTTCACATTATCTATTATACATTTTGGTCCTCATTTACACTTTCCATTTCTCACAACAGAGAAATTATTTGATATTTACACATATGTGTCCTATTTATTTTACTTAAGGGTATGGCCTCAATGTGCATCCATTTACCTACAAATATCTCTAATTTATAATTTTTTATGGCTGAGTAGTACTCCATTTTATTAAAAAAACCCCACATCTTCTTTATTCAGTTACTAGTTGATATGCATTTGGGCTGTTTCCAAATTTTAGCTGTTACAAAATCTGCCCATATATCACTTTGGTGTGACGCTTTTAATTCTTTTGGGAAGATACCCAGCAGGGGAATAGCTGGGTCAAATGGGACCTCTCTAATGCTAATTTTTTGAGGTATCTCCATACTGATTTCCACAGTGGTTGCACCAGTCTACACTCCCACGAACAGTGGAGAAGGATTCCTTCTTCCCCACAACCTTGCCAGCATTGATTATTGGTTGATTTATTGATAGCAGCCATTCTTTCTGGAGTGAGGTGGAATCTCAGTGTTTTCATTTTCATCTCTCGAATGACCAGTGATGTTGAACATTTTTCCATATGTTTATTTTCTATTTCTACTTCATTGCCTGAGAAATGTCTGTTCATTTCAGGTACCCATTTTTGGATTGGGTCTTTAAATTTGGGAGGTCTGTTTTTTTTTTAAGTTCTTTATACATTCTAGATACTAGACCTTTATCTGAGGAACAGCTGGCAAATTTTTTTTCCTACATTGTGGGTTGTCTCTTCATGTTGTTGGTGGTTTCTCTTGGTGTGCAAAAGCTTTTTAATAAGATGAGAGTCCAGTTGTTGATTCTTTGGGCTAGTACACATGCAACTGAGGTTTTGTTAATGAAGTCTTTTCCTATGCCAGTGTCTTTAAGAGTTCTAACCTCTCTTCCAGCAGGTTTAGTGTTTCTGTTTTAATACTTAGATCTTTGATCCACTTCGATTTTAGTTTAGAGCATGGTGAGAAATATAGGTCTAGTTTTAATTTTTGGCAAGTTGAAACCCAATTTTTCCAGCACCATTTATTAAATAGGCTTTCTTTCAGTGGGAGTGTTTGTCTCCTTTGCCGAAGATGAGGTAGGTGAGTGTGTCTGGAATTGTTTCTGCATCTTCTAGTCTATTCTATTGTCCTCAGGTCTGTTTCTTTGCCAGTACCATGCTATTTTTATCACAGTAGCTTTGTAGTATAGTTTCAAATTGGGGATTGTGCTACCCTCTACTTTGTCTTTGTTGCCTAGAATTGCTTTTGCTATTCTAGGTCTCTACTTGTTCCAAATGAATTTTCGGATATTTTTCTCTAGTTCTGTGAAATACGCTGTTGGAATTTCAATTGGGATTGCATTGAATCTATATAGCAGTTTTGGAAGTATGGCCATTTTCACTGTATTGGTTCTTCCTACCCAAGAACAGGAGATGTCTTTCCATTTTCTGATACCCTCTTCGATCTCTTTTTTCAGAGTGCTGTAGTTTTCAGAGTAAAGGTCTTTGATTTCTTTCGTTTGATTGATTCCTAGGTATTTCATTTTTTTGGACGATATTGTGAAAGGAGTTATTTCTCTAGTT